CTTCTCTTTAATGTACTGTGTGGTTCTCCTGATGCTCTCTGAGCTGTTCTCTGTGTGTGTCAGTAGATCCTGTAAGAGTCTCTGATTGGACTCCAGTGAGACGCCCAGCAGGAACCGCAGGAACAGATCCAGATGGCCATCTCTGCTCTGAAGTGATTCATCTACTACACCTTTAAGCAAATATTGTACTGAAGCTAAATTCTTCAATTCCTCCATAGTTGTACTCACATGAAAGTAAAAAACATAGAAAGCAGCTTCACATCCTGGTTCAGGTGAGGCTTTAAAGATGTCATTGCAGTGGATTGGAGTGTCTTGTGAGTGTTGTGTGTTTCTGCATGATGGCTTCAGTTCTTTCTTGTCTGATGTGGGTCTGATAGTGTGATGCAGAGTATGACACAGATCTGGTCGGCTGATGTATTTCCCTCCTGCTGAAACAAAAATCATAATAAAAAGTGCAGAAAAAAGCTAATAAATTATTATAATGACGTTAAATAAATTATAATGATGTTAAATGAAATATATTGGTTACTGTATATAAGATCCCAACTAATGCAAACACTGACCACTATAATGATGACTTAAACATTTTGATTTTCTCCTTTGATGATTCTGCTTGTTAATATCAGGTGTCTTCAATAATGGTCAATCGTCACTTAATTAATCACCTAATTATCTCATTAACTTCAACACTGCTTCAGTGTTTATGTGAGGCCACACTAAATTAACACTGGAGATTTTGCTTTGTGTATATAATTTTGGGGCCCCTCTTGGTGTGGCACACCTTTTCTTGTATATTTCATTTAGTGTTATTTTGTTGAGTTTTTATTCATTATTCACCTGAGATGCACTACAGTAAATTATTAAATTAGCAAGTAAATGTTTATACTAACAGAGGGTCAGAGGTCATTGGTCTATCACTGAATTCAGGGGGTGGCGTCTTTGATCTGTTACTCTTCACAGACACACCGCTGGGTTCTGGAGACTCTGATCTCTGACTCTTCCTTCTGTTGACACAGTCAAAAGACAAATGAGTTACACTTTATTTTAAGGTGTCCTTGTTACAGTGTGATTATACATTTAAGTACTGAGTAATATTAATTAACTACATGTACTTGCTATATGGTTAGGGTTAGGATTAGGGTTTGGCTTAGGGTTAATTGCATGTAATTATGCATAATTTATAGTTAATATAATAGTAACTACATGTAACATGTGTAACAAGGATACCTTAAAATAAAGTGTTACCGACAAATGAAATGTCATTAGAGCACTAGCTATACTGTAAAACTGGAAAGCACATTGGATTTATATTTATTTATTAAGCAGACATTTATTCATTGAGGATCAATAATAGTAAAGCCTCTCCCTCGATGGAGGCAGTTGTGACCTGAAGGTTGCAGGGTCCCAGGTGCTACAGCAAGTTTTACCAGTTTACTTGTATACCATACTTCGCTACACATCACCCACAGACAGCAGGCGTCTGTACTGTAAGCTTTTTTGGATAAAGCATCTGCCAAATGCTAAAATGCTTACCTAGGTTCAGAGGTCACTGGTGTATCGCTGAATTTTGTGGTTTGCTCCATGGATGTGTCTCTCTTCTGCAGATTCTGATCTCTCTCTTCTGGTAATGCTGACAAAAGTTTCTCAAATTATTGTCTAAAGAACTGGCTCCTGTCTTACTATAAAGCTTTAATGGTGCATTTACATTTGAGATTACTTTTTTTTTTCCAAATCCACTTATAAATGAGGAATACAGCAATGTGATTCAAGGAGACAGTAATATGGGAAGTGCTGCAGTAAAAAAAAAAATTTTTTTAAAAGAGATGAAAACAAGAGTTAAAAGCTATTTTTTGTGAAAGCACGTCATGACAAGCCTGTGTAATGTTTTCCCACATTTTTTCACATTTTAGAATTAACACTAACTTTGCCAGATTCATTAATATATTTTTTTCCAATGTGATCACTGTATGTAAAATGCCTCTGCATTAAAAAAAGTGTCCTGTTAAAGAAACTGTATCAAACTCTATAATTTACTGTCAAATGTTCCTCATTTAGATGATGTAAAATAATCTATGATGTTAAATATAAAAAAAGGAGTATATTTGAAGTAAACATCAAAGTTATTTTTGTAACAGCTTTAATCCTCAATGTTTCCACCATTTTGGTCGGCTAGTTTGATCAAACTGTTGAAATATGATTCAGGTTTCTAATCCCATGAAAACGTTAGATCAGACTGAAATAGCCGGTCATTTATATGAATACAGGGTTATAAGAATAAGTTATGAACTTACCATAAAGATGTGGCTAGAGCAAGAGTTAGTAAGTTTAAAGCCTCAAAATGGTGTCTCTGTTTCTTACTTTACTTTCATTTCTACCTGGTTAAGGCGTGGCTTGTTTTTCTTTGACTCCACCCTTACGAAAAACAAACTAGTAGCACAGAATATAATAGCAGGTGTGTGTGTGTGT